GGGCATTGGGAATCACTGAGATTTGGGCTCAGCATATGGAAAAACCTTCTCTTAGAATTTTCCCCACATTGGAATTTTCTGCCTTAAAAGATAATTCATTTCTTTTCATCAGAGTACAGTCCAGCATGCCCAGGCAGAGCTGGAGGCCCACAGACAGGCAGGTTATAGATTGGCCATGCAAACTAACTGATGAATAGAACAGCCCATTAATTCTGGAACAGTTTATGGGTTATAGTGAAATTGTTTAGTTTGTAACTGAATAATTAGCTGGAAACTTTTGGTTTTATCTGAAGTTGGAATTCTGTCTAGAGCCATGCTTCTGTTGTTAAAATAAACACACACAAAAAAACCTGGGCATTTGATTCTCTAGATCAGGTTTACTTAAATACACATGCAATTACATCTATGTAAGGGCAAAGTAAACCCTGAAGCCCTGGGATTCTTGCAATGGAGGAGCTGTGTTCTCTGAGGGCACAAATGTGGCATTGGGTCATTGTACTCTGCTGTGAGTGAGTCTTGTCCATGTGTTGGTCCCCTGCTAATAGCACTGGCTTGACTGCTTGAGGCTTTCCCCAGCTTGCTGATGACTCTGTCACGTGCTGTCATACCTCCTCTCCATGAATTTGAAATTTAGGTTCGGTGAAGTCTTCTGACTCACAAATCTTTCCTTCCCCTCAGCATCTTAAGGAGAGCAGATACTCGTCACCTGTAGTATCGAGACACGCTGTGTTGGAACCCTGCCGTTTACTAGAGGACTGTGACGAGGGCAGCTGCTGTGAAGCAAATCCTTTCCCTCTGCCGGCTGGGCACCTCTAGAAGACAGTTTGACCCTTCCCTATTGCTTTGTACCTGAGTAGGGGAAGCTGGGGACATATGCCCTTTTTAAGGCGCTGGGATGTTGCAGTTACACTGCCAGCTAGCAGTCCTCTTCCTGTGCACACTGTATTCCCTACTCAAGGGTGGTGGAGAAGTGACCCACTTTGACAGAGTAATGGTTGAAAACATACACTGAGCCTTTTCACAGTGAAAAGTGAAATAGCTTGATAACTGAAGATGTCAGATGTTCCCCGTCATGGCTAGGTGGAGCTGGAAAATGGACTCCTACTGGTTCTTTCCTAACTTTTATCTCTCCTTCCTGCAGCCTACCTTTCCTGTTGGCATTTTGTTCACTTCTAAAATGATGTGCTTTGGAAACAAAAGCAATGATTTTGTTTCCTCCATCAGACTCTATCAGTGGGGCATGGGGGTAGTCCTTAGTGGGCCAAGGAAGAGGGAGTAAGAATTTTTTTTCATTAAATCTTGCAAATTAAATGGTATTTCTGATGTTGGTATAGTTGACTTATCTTACATTTGGATTATTGCAAGTTCTTTGTTTTAACTGTACAAATAAGATTACACTTATCTTTGACATATGTCTTGGTGTAGAGAAGTCTTTCTAACTGCCAAATTGGACCAAAGGAAAATAATGTGAAATTCTTAGAGGCAAGACATGAACCAAATTCTCTTGAGAATTAGGTCACCTGGTATCTTCCAAATAGATTCAGGAAAACTTTCCCCTACTTCCTTCTAATCTTCCTACCAACCACCTCCCCCAAAAGGCCCTGTATCTCTTTAACTAGAAAATTATTTCTTCTGTTTTACTTCTCCTTTAAGCAACATAAAATGAAATCTCCCCCCAGCTTTCTTCTAGAGGATAAACAACTTTGGCATGGTTCTGCATTCTGTCTGGGGTTCTTCGTGCAGGGACTGTATGTGGTTAACTGAAGCGTAAGTGCCTGCATTCTGCTGATTTTGTGAGTAGTGAGGTTTCCATTTGGGCGGGTCTCCTGCGCTTTAATGCTGCAGCCAGAGACCATCCTGCTGCCACACTGCAGGGCAGTGGCCATCCAATAGAAATGCTTGAGAATTTTAATCTTTGGGCGATTTCATTGTTGAGAGTGAAGGAGTTGCATTCCTAAGACCTCACTGCAGGATGGAAATGTTGTAATGAAAAACTGCAATAGAGGAGGTTAATTAATTTCCCTAACCCAATTTCTCTTTGGTTCTCTTTATTTTTTACTTTAAAAATAAAATAAAGACTATCAGACAGTAGACTAAACAGCTTTTGCTGCTGGATAGCCTATTTCCATATGTAAGAGGCCTGTGTGACCCAGACACACACCTTGAGCCCCCCACAAATTCTCTCAAACTATGATGAAATGTATGCCTAACCTCTTGATTTCCTATTCCTGTCTGATAAGGTTTTAAATATGCAGTGATAGCTACTGTGTGGTGTTTCTAGTGCTTCCTTATAAGTCTGGTGTCAGAGTACTGTGCGTGCCGCTGCTCAGGCTCAGACTGTAAATACCCACACTGCTCCGCTCCCGAAGCAGGCAAGGGCGAGTGCTGTGCTAGGCAGCCTGGATGCCTCACACTGCTCACTTCAGCATAACCCTGGGTACCTGAAACCTATGAGAATGTTTTGTGTAGTAAGCACTTCACTTTTTAATTATCACAACTTAACTGTGGGGGTTTTTCCCTCTTGGAAATATTTCTGACTTACCCTGTGGGTTTCTGAGTCTCTTTAGCTGAATTATCAGAACAGAGTTCATTGGGTGTGAGCACAGAAACCTCGTTTAGTAGCCAGCGCTGTCCATGCAGCTAGAGAGGCAGGCATCTGTGGATGTATGGCCACAGCAAGCATGACGGCATTCCTTGGAGCTTAAAAGAGATTTTTGCTGGCACTCAGTTGGGGTTTTTAATTTTTATTTTGCAGTTGAATTTTTTAATTTGCCTTCTTATTTTTCTTTTTAATCATATGCGCACAACTCCTCTGTTCAGTTTAACCTTTGTCAGGCTTCTGGGGTGGGTTCAGTGCAACACACCATGGCCACCTACACTCCCAGTTCATTGTTAAGTTCGTTATGCCAGCTTGAAGAAGGCATAGCCTTCACATTCTGGTTCTTTATGGTTAGCATAAAGGGCCACTATGAATCAGAATTGACTTGAGGGCAGTGAGGTCTATTTCTTTTTTTAATTTCAAGCCTATAAATTCCTCCTTATTTAAAGAAAAACCATGGCACTAATAGCCAGATATGTGGATCATAACAAACTATGGATGGCTTTTCGAGAAATGGGAATTCCAGAACTTCATTGTACTCATGTAGAACTTGTGCATGGATCAAGAGGTGGTTAGTGACTAGAACATGGGAATAGTGCATGATTTAAGGATATCGTGCTTGGTAAAGTCGAGGGCCATCGCAAAAGAGGAAGGTCTTCGACAAAATGGATTGATGAACAGTGGCTGCCACTGTAGGCTCAAACGTAGGAACAGTTGTGAGGATGGCCCAGGGCCAAGCCTTGTTTTGTTTTGTTGTACACAGGGTGGCCCTGAGTTTAATCTGACTAGATGACACCTAACAGCAAGAGCCAGGAAACCCTGTTCTTGAGCTGCATGGTGGAATGGTAGCCTCCAGTTACTTGCTTGGCTTCTTTAGTCCTTGATTTCCTTACACTAGAATGATTCTGGAATAAAATTTTTTTTTAATATGGGCATTTAGAATTTTTATTTAATTTTTTTTAATTAATCAATTTATTGGGGCTCATACAATTCATCACAATACATAGATCAATTGTGTAAAGCACATCTATACATTTGTTGCCCTCAT